CCACCTCCATAGCCTCCCATCACATACATACTCGCCCAGATCTGAAACCAGGCTACAACCAAGCAACGGAGAAAAAGGAGGTCCGTCGGTTTAGGCCTCTCTCCGACTTCGAGGACGGTGGATCCGGAAGATCCGAACCGTCGTCCACCGACTGGATGCGATAGAAGAGATGAAGAAAGGAAGAACTGAAACTCAAATGCAGGGGAAGAAGGATGATGTTTCAGAGGCGAGGTAGAGGTCAACTGCCATGGTTTCGTTGTCACCGTGGTTTCGTTGCCGCGGCCGTTGCTGATGGCGGTGACTGGTGCGAGAAGGTGAGCAAGCCAGAGTTGAGATAGAGAACTGTCTGATGCGAATTAAATAAGCGTAGATGCGTCGATCGTTTTTAGGTTAGGTCAGTTTTTTGTGAAATTTTAAAATAGTCATATTTTTTTCTATTAAAACCTTGTAGGTCATATTTGTGAAATTTCCCCGGCGCCAAGTGTTCAAGCCACGCTTGGCAAACATGGGCATACAAGCCCCCAAATAATTATTCAGAAAATAATATCCATGAGCATTAATTTAAATGTTTTTTTAAAATAGAAACGGAGGAAGCACGAACCACGTCTCCTCTCCTCGATCTCCCCGAAGCAACGGGCAATGGTAGCAAGCTTTAGCCTCTACCTGAAACTGTGAGGTGGCCTCCCCCGTGAAGGGGAGGTCAGTACTTGGAAGCATTTGACAAGTACAATGACAACTATACTAAGTATAATCAATGTTTCAATTTCTAAAACCCTCAAATAGAGTGATATTATATCATAGGCCATAACCCTTGGTTGCCCTGTTTTAAAATATACCTACTTTATATATAAAGTCAAGTAGTAGGCCCGTAGGCCCATGTTTACTTTGAAAAAATTCAACCCATTTCCCCGTGACTTCAAGCCACGCCCATCTATATTAATTCATCATGCTAGAGGCTTTCTCTAGTCATGTTTTGTCGTGCTAGAGGCTTACTCTAGTCACTCCACTTGGTGTTAGAGGCTTCCTCTAATCACCTTACATACGTTGTGCTAGAGGCTTCCTCTAGTCACATTACGTTATGCTAGAGGCTTACTCTACTCATCCTACGTTACGCTAGAGGCTTCCTCTAGTCGTTCTACATTCTTCAAGCCACGCTTATCTATATTACTTTGTCATGCTAGAGGCTTCCTGTAGTCATGTTTTATCGTGCTAGAGGCTTACTCTAGTCACTCCACTTGGTGTTAGAGGCTTCCTCTAATCACCTTATATACGTTGTGTTGGAGGCTTCCTCCAGTCACATTACGTTATGCTAGAGGCTTTCTCTAGTCATCCTACATTACGCTAGAGGCTTCCTCTAGTCGTCCTACATGAATGCTAGAGGCTTCCTCTAGTCATTCCTCGTCGTGCTAGAGGCTTCCTCTAGTCACGATACTAATTCACTAAGCAAATTCTATGCCTAGAGTTCCTCTATTATGAGTAGCCTATGAGGCCTACTCCTAATGTAACTTAGCGGTTACCCGTTTCTACCTTAAGACATCTCATAAGACCACTTAAGGTACATCTTTCACAACCCAAGCCCTTAGGATTTGTTCTATCACTTTTCATACTAACATTTCCGACTAGTAAGTTCAATACTAATCCATTAGTCTTTAAGCAACCAAGCTCTTTAATTCATAGTTATAAGGTTCATTCCTATAAATTTTCCAATCCGTATATGATTAATCCCAATATCAAAAATATCACTTTTATCCATTCGTGATCTCTATACATGAAGTAAAAGTATATTTCATCACAAAAATTCATGGTTTATACTATCATCATACCATCATATTTATAATGCATCACCATACACCATTTACTCATAAATTTGTATTTTATGCATCTTCTATTCATAAACAATAATATTTTCATTTAGGCATTATTAATCATTAATAATCCATGAAAATCACATTTAATTACCTTAGGTAATCTTATGAAATTAACCCAAGGATTATAAGCAATATAGTCAGTCATCCTCACCTTAAATATGTCCAGCAAGGTTGCCTATTGAAGCCCCATCGTTAAACGTTCGATCGGGAATGATTCGAAACAACATTGGCTGGCAGAGGGCAAAAGCCGCCCGGCTTTCGGGCCCTGCAGCACGAAAACAGCACCTAGAAGTGGCGGTTTCCGGCGATTTCGATTCCTATCGATTCAACAACTCTTCTAAGTTAATTACCAACACTTTATATCATATTTCCACACTTTTAAACGTGTAGAACATCCCCTAGAATCCATCATATGATTCCTATAAAATCATATATGAAAACTATATAAAATGAAAGAACAATAACCATAGCTATGAGATTCTTACTTCTAGGACTTGTTTTGCGTGAATTGCTCCCCTCGACCTTCTTCCTTCTTGATTCTTTGTGGTGTGTGTGTATAGAGCTCTCAAGAATCCCCTCCCTCTTTCCTAGCTCTCATACGTATGGTTCAAAAATGAGAGGAGAGGATGAGGCTTCCTCTCTTATCCCTTCTATTTTTAGTAAGGTTGGGCCAATTAAGTTGGGTTGGGTTGGGTTCATGGGCTGTTTATTTTAATTACTCCAACCCAATGTATTAGTTAAACTCCTCATCCATTATATTTTGTCTATATTTAGTATGGGCTACCCCAATTAGAGTGCAGGGAACCCTTCACCCTTATACTTGCTATTTTCGGTAAATTGGGCTAGAACGCCACTTTGGTTACTTGATATATCTCGGTTGGGCATGAATGACTTTTATTCATTTATTTATATTATTTTAGGATAGTAGACCATAATAGGTCGGTCCTAAAATGTATTGGATAATCTTCTCCAATATCCCGAGCTCAAACCCTTTTACATTTCCATTTTTGTAAGTGGACTCAAATGGCTGCTCGTATTGTTTATTTATCTTTTATTCGGCCCAAACAATTATATATTACAACTTCCTTATCCGTGGGTTTTTTATTTAATTTATCTGGGTCCAAGAATATACATTAGTTAGTCCATTCCAATGTTTGGGGTCCGACCAACAATTTAATTAATCGGTATTAATTTAATCAATTAATTATTTTTAGTATGATTAATATACTTGTAACTAGTTTTCAAAGTGAATATACATTCATGACTTTAACTAATCATCCCTATCGAAATTAGTATTTGTACTTTCACTTAGATTTTTAATATCAATGGATTAATAAATCCAAGTTTAAATTGGGAGCGGTGTCACACACACACACAATAACTCAAATAATTTGTGGTTAATTTACTTCACCATCTTCATGATATTTGTAACTACTAGATTTATTGTAAATTATACTACTTGCAAATAGATTGTAATGATTCTTTTATAACTATATATGCAAACTCAATTTATTTTTTTAAGTTTTGAAAGACTTAGAGAAGGCATCCTATATTGCTACTGTGATGAAGAACAACTTTCATTGTTATCACATAACTACGATTTTTATTTCTACTTATTAAATGAAAATTGAAACTTTCTTTTATTTTATTATTAAGTGTTCACATACTTATGTTTGACCTTTGATGCTTGAAATCATTAGAACTTTAATTAAAACTAGTTACTCCACCCATGTGTTGCACGGGGTGAAATACATACATCAAAGTTAAAAAGCTTGACATGCAATTGATCAATTAACTAGATAAATTAAATAAAATAAGTCCATATTTAGTAGGATATTAAAAAATAATGCTCTTAGTGAATATAAATTGTCATCCGATAAAATAGGTGTACATGTATGTCCAAGCAACTGTGTAAAGAAACTACAAATTAGTGAAATTACTGTAAATATACCACATTAACACAGACTGTGTTGCTACGTTGTTTGTCTTCATCACATATCACAAATTTAAATTCAAATCGACTTGTTACTCACAATACTATCACATATAATTGTGCACACGCAAAAACATGCTAATGCAATATTGATTACTTTTGTTTTCGTTGGTTAAATTAGAATTGTTGGCTAAATATCATTGGTTGTACTTATTATTGTTATTGTTGATACAATTGTTATTACTATCACTACCACAATTATTATTTTTATTTTTATTTATTATATTAATAACGGTTCCTTAACAGTTCCGAACACATATTTTTATATGATCCAAGAACTGAATCGTTAGTAACAATTAGGAACTGAACCGTTAACAACTAATACAACATTTATAGGAACCGAACTAAATGAGATTATAACGGTTCGGTTCCAACCGGTTCTACGGTTCCCGGTTCCAAAATCTCACCCTAGTGTGTACTGTAGACGGACACTAAAATGTGGCCCACTTGGGCCGACCTTTTACCTTTTATTTTTATCTAGTTGGTTCCAATTTGCAGAATTCTTCCCTGAATAATTTCATGCTGCCCAACAATTTTGCTTCGACGGGAACAATTATGTACACACGGCTCCCTAGATATATAGATGCATAGATATTTAGTCATTTTTTGTCAAAATTAAGATCTAGTCGTACATTTGTCTAATAAAACTATAGATATATAGATGTTAAATGTCTCACACCGGAAAGATTTAGATAAATAAAATGCTACTCCCTCAGTCCCAAATTGTAAGATACATTTACTATTCACTTGGTCAACATAAATCACTCATAAACTTTTATTTTATATATCAAAAGTTTATGAAGTTTGAATTATTTTTTGCAGGTTTTGTAGCGGATTTAATGTAGTTTTTGAATATGTAAATTTTATTTTCTAGAACTAATTTGGGTGTTGACAGGGATCAATTTGCTTTATTGTCAGTCAAACATCGTAAACCGAAATGTATCTTACAAATTGGGACGGAGGGAGTATATTAATACATGGGCTATTCCTCCCAACAGGGTTGACCATTTAGGTTAGAACCTCAGGTATTAACATGGTATGAGAACAAGTTCGATCCATGGTGTGGGGCCCCTTATGAATCGTGATGACACAATTATAAAAAAAATGACAATTACGGCCGGATGAAAAAAACGAACCGATGAAAAATAAACTAATGATGAGGTTGATGACACGATCAAGACGAAGTGTATGGTCGTGATGAGGGGTTTTAAATGTTCCACATCGGAAAGATTTGAATAAATAAAGTGTTATATTAATACATGGGCTACTCCTCCTAACATGGTTGACCTTTTAGGATGAAACCATAGGTCTTAACATATATCCATGTAAAATGTGAAAATTAAAACATAAAAGTAATCTACTCACACACACACAAAAAGTAATCAATCTAATGAAGCAACATTAAAGCCTCTGTCGAGGACTTTGGGAAGGCATGCACGGTTTGGCTTATTTTCATGAAGTCATCTCTATCTCGAACATTGAACCATATTTCCATTTTTTGTAGAGCTGGTGTTCTCTCCAAAAGTATTTGGGCCAAAGTCCTGATGGGATCACCACTTGAATCTCCCACCACGTTGATTAACTTGATAAACTTCAAATTTATAAAATCACCATTACACTTCTCCTTTGCTAGTTGGGTCCAGTTGTCCTCCAACTGGAATGAAAATAAACGACAAACTTATATTTAATAATGTGGAGCAAACAAAATTTATCATATAGTTCACAATTCACACTTACCACTTGAGGATAATCACAACTTATGATCAAAGTGTCAATGGTTGGAGAAGCATTTAGAATGACTAGAGTACACAGAGGTAAATCTAGAGAACCCAGAAGGGTTTGTTTAGCATCCCATGCAACATCCATTCTCAAGCACCTAATGTTCCCTGTTGGCAGCTGCCAACCGTAATCCAAAAGTTTTGATACAACCTAAATTCAACAAGTAATTAGTGATCAGTCCAAATATACGGAGACTACACCGTTGTTCGCTATGTTTCTGTTAATTTGCTAAACCATGACTAATCACCGCATACTTCATTCGCAATATTACTATAAGTGCCTAGGGGTGGGCGCGGTCCGGTCCGGTCCAATATTTGGTCGAACCCGTACCCGTACCGTGACTATTCAAACGGTTCGGTTAGGTTCGGTCTTACACCTAAACCTGTTCGGTACGATTTCATTTTCAAACGGGACGGTACCATGTCATACCAATACCAAACAATGCCACTTTTTCCATGTCATCCTCCAAAAATCCACACAATTCATCAATTTCATACTCCCTCTATCCCAAATTGATATGCGAAGTCAACAATTAAAATTTACATATTCAGAAACTACATTAAATTCTCTTCAGAGTTGCAAACTCCAAATTAAATATAATTAAAAATTGACATGCTAATTAAGTGAATAAAATGAAACTATTTGACAAGAAAAGTTAATTTTGCGAATCAATCTGGGACAGAAGTAGTATTACATAATTAATAAATTTCAGATAAACTATAGTAGTACCAATTTAAAAAATTAAACCATACATCGGTTCGATTTCAGGCTTCATATAACTAGCAAAAGCGGTGAAAGTGTGAAGACACTAGTCAAAGTAATGGTGTACATGTAAATTTAAATAATTAAATCATACTTCGGTCCGGTTCGGTCCGGACCGGTTCTCATTTTATGAGAACTGGTCATGGCATCAGCACGGTCCGGTTCGGGACAAAATAATTTGAGATCCGTTTCAAACCCCGTTTTTCGTTCCGGTGCCATACCGGTTCGGTTCGATGCCATGCCGGTTCGGTATTTTTGCCCACCCCTATAAGTGCCTGCACCTCAACTTCAAAAAAATGCAAACACCTTACAATTATTATGACCTAATGACACAGTCAAAATTCGTAAACTACTTGAAGCAGAGATTATTTGGTGTGTAAAAAAACAATTGTGCACACCTTAAACCCGGTGAAGATTTACAACAAAATGTACTCATGTGTTGTTATATACAGATATACTTGTATTTGAAAATATATTGTGTAGAAAAGAATTGAGGAACACTTCCTCTTGCTACTTGCTATTTTAAATTCTATTTTGGATAAAAACCAGGGAATGTTCATGATTACATATTCAGATATTCTACCACTGTTAATTCTTCAATAGAAAGATGAGAACTTGGATACTTTTCAATCCTTCATAAAGTGTAGCCCCAACAAAGAATATTTGTATTAAGAATATGTAAAACTGCCTAAAGCAATATGTATGGCGTAGGGTTCAGGCAACATAATTGCACATCAAGATATTTGCATATCACGATTTGCAGTTTGAAATGCAAATAACATTGTATTAAGAAAATGTAAATCTGACTAAAGCAATACATACATATGACATAAGATTTAGGCCTGCATATAAAAAAAATGGTTTTTCAAATGCAAATCATAGATACATAAATCGTTGGACATGCTGCGAACTCCGTACCGATCGTTCCGTACCGAATCGCGGTACGAAAATGATCCGGTCGCTTGCCGGAACGCTATGCGGTACGGTCTTGGAGTCGTACCCAGTCGCGGTTCAAAGTCGTTCTCTATTGATCTTGAAATCGACCCCAATCGATGTTCAACGCGAATTTATTCGCCGTTTCCCTTCATCGCACAGCTTCAAAACATCGTTTCCGATAGTTCCCAGATTTCCGTCATATTCCGGATTTCAAACTAAGGTCTGTGACTCTTAGTTTGCGTTTCGTTTCCCGTGTGTACACAGCGTACGTATTTTGATTTTTGAACCAGGCTCCTAGACTCTTAGGGCCTGTTTACTAACAGAGATATTTTCCTGTTTTTTTTCTACTTCTGTTTTTCGTTCTCCAATTTTCTGTTTTTATTTTTCAGTTTTTCTATCTCCAATTTTCTGTTTCTATTTTTCAGTTTTCCATTCTCAAATCTGAAAACATGTTCATCAATTTTTTCACCCAGTTCTCCAATTCCACACCCTTGAGTCCTTGACCCCTACCCCTACCCTTACCACGATCTTACTCTACCCATACTCCCCCCAACCCTTCATACCCACCCATACCTACTCGTAGGGGTCGGGGTAGGGAAGTTATGGGTGGGGGTGGGGTGGTAAGGTCTAGGGGTAGGGGGTTGGGTGGGTTAGGGTTGTGGTTAGGGGTAAGGGTGGGGTAGTGGGTAGGGTTGGGGTAAGGTAGGGGTAGGGTGGGGAGTTGGGATAGGATGGCGGTAGGGTGGGGCCGATGTAGGGAAAGGGTATGGTGGGGGGTAGGATGGTGGTTAAGGGTGGGGGTAGTGGGTAGGGTTGGGGTTGGGGTAAGGTAGGGGTAGGGTAAAGAGTTGGGATAGGATGGCGGTAGGGTGGGGCCGAGACCAGGGTGGGGCCGAGGTAGGGAAGGGATAGGGTGGGGGTAGTGGGTTAGGGTTGGGTAGGGGTAGGGTAGGGAGTTGGGATAGGATGGCGGTAGGGTGGGCCCGGGATCCGGGTTGGGCCGAGGTAGGGGAAGGGTAGGATGGGGGGTAGGATGGTGGTACGAGGGTGGGGGTAGGATGGCGGTGGGGTGGGGCCGAGGTGGTAGGGGTTAGCGGTAGGGTGGATCGGTGTGGGGCTGAGGTAGGGGGCATGTGATAGGGGGTAGGGTAGGATCATTATAGGGAAAAATGGGTACGCGGGGTAAGGTTGGGTGGGTAGGGTAGGGTAGGGTAGGGGTAAGGGGTAAGGTACAAGGATGGAGGTACCGGAATGGAATCGACATCGGAGCGGGACCGGACCCACAACTAGGTGTAAGTATGCAAATTCATTGCAGCGGCATTGTAGCATCTGCGTTTTCCAAATTTGGAAAACTAGTAAAAGTCACTTTTCTAAATCATTAAGGAAAAGAGAAACATGTCTCAGTTTTTCTGTTTTGGAAAACGATTTGGTAAACGCGTTTTTCTTTTTTCCTTTCTCTAGTTTTCCAGAAATTTCTTTGGTAAACACGTTTCCTGTTTTCTGTTTTCAGAAAATATCTCTGTTAGTAAACAGGCCCTTCGTTTTCTGATCCCACTCATCAATTTTACTCTCTAATAAATACGAGTATTATAAATTGTGGCAAAATGATTTTACTATTTTTTTTAAATTTTAAAACCAGGATCGTAGACTCTTCTTTTTCTTGTTTGAACTTTAAATCAATGATTGTAGTTCTGTTTTTCTGTTTTGCTTGAAATATTTCTTGAATATTAATGTTTTTTATTTTGTTTAATGTTATGAAATGATGTTACGAAATCTGTTTTTGTTCAATTTTCAAATCTGTATTCTATAACTCAGTTTTATATTTTTATTAGACCAAAGTATTAGGTACAGCGTACCAAACATATGGTAAATCGTACCGAACGCGTACCGAAATGAAGATACCCCTCTGTATCGGATACGCTAGATCTAGCGAACCGCGTTCCCGTTCCTTGTTCCCGTTTCGAACCGTACCGTGAACCATGTGACTATGATGCAAATAACCTTGTACTCCTATGTCTCACTTTGTTTTACTTCAACTGTGAGTTCTTTAGGTCATAGTATTTGGTAGCTTCAGTTAAGAATTTTTTATTTTCATGTGAAATAAAACACCATATAAGAGTCGAGTCCATTTTGATTGTGGAGAGTTTAACCATTCAAAACATCAGGACAATAGAACTGTTCAGCATATAAGTTCATTTCAGTACATTAACCCAAGAACCCACTCAAATGTGTAGCAAACTCAAGTAGCTTTATCTTCTGTTATGGTTCTTAAGTATCTTTATCTTCTACTCACGTAGCAAACCCAAAAAAAGAAAGAAATACCTGAATGGAAGCATCATGTAAATATAGCGCTTGAATGTGATGGATCTCATCAAAGAAGGCCCTCGTATTAATGGATACAGCTTTTGGTATAATTTTATTCATGCCGATAAAGTTGTATCCTACGCTCACTAGTGAGGAGCAAGGTTGTAGCTGAATTTTTCTTTTCATATGATACACCAACAGATCCACATATTTTATATGTGGTGCTGAAATGGTCAAGACTGGCTCAAGCTCCCTTTGACCTTCTGGGTCCCTCAACACTAGATCATGTAGGTTTTTGGAGTTAATGGTCAAATGGGTAAATCCCCAACACTGATGCAATTGCAAAGATGATAATCGTGGGGAGGCCTCGAGTATATTGTCCATGACAGGTTGGGATATCTGGACTCCTGAAATTTGGAGTTTTATCAAAGAAGGCCATTTCATTTTTCCCTCAGGTGGTTGTATATTACAAAATTCCAAAGATAATGATACTAGAGATGAACTAGTATACATGATCTTTGGAAGTATGTAGGGATGCCTTTCATTCTGAATCCTCAATTTCACAGTTTGCACATTGCTCTCACACCCAAAATCTATCCAATGATCAACGTCTGGTATAGAACAATCATTGAAGTTGATGGTAAGCTTTTCAAGTTTTTTTCCCTTACGAGCACCAATTAGCCTGTTCATGCCGTCAACAAATTCTTTTCTCTGGTTAGGTTGATACCAATCGAGGAATTCAAAAACAAGATTGGGTGATTGAGCCCACAAGAATCTCCATCTGCTCCCCAAAACACTCGTTCTAGCGGCTTCCTTGGTGTCCAATAGAGAGAGTATATCAGCAATCAAATCATCTGATAATTGATCCATCAATTCTGTCCGAGAGCTCCGATTACCAGAGTGAGAAGAGACTGTTTGAGAAGGAGGGACGCAGCTATGAGGTGCAGCGGACTTACGGGTAGACAGAAGCAGCGATTCCTGCGAATCCATCGATTACCTGAATCCGTGAATCGCAGAGTTTGAGGAGCGAGGTGTAATATCAGTAAGGCTATGGGGCTTGCCCCCAATAACCCAAGACCTACCCGCCCGCCCCAGTGATGAAAAGAATATGACGGAAGATGAAATGAGGCGGCCGAACTATTTTGCGTGCAGAGCAGCAGAAGGTTAGACGGATAGTCCAAAGGAAAAACAATTTTGCTATACTATACCCAGTGTTCTAAAACACTTCAAAAAGGCGCCGATTACGCAGGCCTAGGCCTCAATACAATGCGTGGCAGAAGGCGCCCCAACTCATTACAATTAAATTTTTAATTTTTTTTCAGCCCAAGTCAAGAGAATAAATTCTCCTTAACAAAGTCGGCTACGAAGTAAAGATCGCACCGGGTTGGTTTGCAACCACTTTTAAAAAAGCACTTCTCAGCTTTTGGCTTTAAAAAAACACTTATTTTCCCAAACACTACAACTTTTATTTTTCTCGGCTTCCGCGTCAAAAGTGTTTTTACTTTTTCTATTACACAAAAAGCACTTATTTTACCAAACACTACCCACTTTTACTTTTCAAAATCACTTTTTTCTCAAACACAATCAACTTTCATTTAATTACTTCTCCCCATTTCATTAAAAAAAGCACTTTTTAAAAGAGCTGTTACAAACAGACCCTTACTCCGTTTAATATAGAAAAATAGAAGCACGGCTCCATAACTACTTCCGGTGTGGGAATTACCATGACAAAGTTTAAAAAAAGAGCGTGTTTGATTTCAAAGGAATAAAACTGCACACCATCGGTCATGGGATTTCATCAGCAACATAGCTCTAACATGTATGGTCAATAGTCAATATAACTATTATTAATAGCCATGTAATTAAATTTAATATTGATGTGTGATGTATCTTCATCACTAATTTCACTATTATTGGATCATCATAATAATAATGATCATTATCATTGAGCTGTTTGGTAATATCAAATTTGGATGAATAGATTATTCTGTTGAAATTTATACACTTCTGACTAAAGTGACTTGATGGACAGTGTACCCTGGGGGTAGCTTGTCCGAGGGGTTATTGCGGGAATAACCTAGAGAGAAGTCAGAGCAAACAAGTAGGAGAGAGAGGCGATTATATTTATGAACTCGAGGTGTTCTGGTATGGGATCCTTTACAATGGGGAAAGGGGCTACTATTTATAGCAGCAATAAATGCGATGAGGGTACACGTGGCGATAATCTAACGGCCGAGGGGTCACCTCAATCGGGTGGCACTTGGCAGTCGCATGTGCACCGCATTGAATGCGGTGGGTGGATGTGACGTCGCATTAAATGCGGTGATTGCTTGTCTCCAAAGGGAATCTTCGATGATTGAGTTGCTGGCCGAAGGCTCCCCCTTCGGCCGAGGGCTTTGTGTAGCCGAAGGCATGGGAGTGCCGAAGGCTTCCCTGATGCCGAAGGCACCATGTGTGACGAAAGCTCCTGGTAGCCGAAGGCTACTGTTTTGCGCCGTTTTCTTCCAATAGCTTTGTATGCTCAAAACCGGCAGCCCTGTGAGATATGGAGCCTTCGGCCAAGGAGGCCGAAGGCACCCCAGTGTGTTTTTTAGGTTTCTTTGAGACTTGGGCCGCTGTTTTTGGGCCTCGAATGCTCCTCGGGCTCAATGGGCCTGTGTATGAGAAGTAGGAGTCTATGGGCGGGGGGTCCCCGGGCCATATACTCCATCATGACTGAATTGGCTGATTATGCTAATTTATGGGGGGAAATTAAAATATACCCTGTAGTATTATATTAATAAAATAAATAAAAAATAATATGTGGAAATAGCTAAAATAGTCCTCTATAGTAACTTCAGTCGATACATTCAGAAAATTAACTACAACCTTACTTTTTCTTATTATTACACAATTTAAATTAAAATTTACATGTTTGGTGAAAAAAATGGCTGATAAGCCTTATAACTTTATAAGCCGAAAAACAAAGTTATCAAACAAGCTCATTATCGTTATCATTAAAATTATCTTTATCATTATAATTCATTGACCTATCATGTTATTTTATCCTTTTTAATTATAGAAGCTTATTACAGAAAGCGCCGCACGCCGGGATCGTCTCTCGCTTCTCTCTAGGGCTTCGGCCGCTTGGAGTCTTTTTCCGTCTTCAAGTTTAATCGAAAGGACGGCCGCTATTTCCGTCTTCGATTTTAATCGAAGGACGGCTGCTGTTGTTTGTGCTTCGTCCTCGAAGGGCGGATTTGCTGTCATGGCTCGAAGAGATCGGCGTTGTGGTCAAGGTTCGAGGATGATGCGTTGCTGTCGTCGTTGGAGAAGATCGGCGCCACCTATCCGTTTACTCTGGTTGCATGGGGCAGGGATGAGTTTAGTTATGCAGGGACGGGGGATTGATGCATGGCCTTTGGCAGCCAAAGGTCACGGAGTATCAATTAACATGGTACCGGTGGTAAGACCTCCTCCTGAACCACCACCATGGGATGTACGAGGTGTTAGAGTTCGTGAACGCTTTTCTTGTAGTTTTTATCTGTTTGTTATTTGTTTTCTTGTGTCCACTTTTGTTGTTGGTTTTGACAGTTTGTTTAAGTTTTTTGTCTCTCTTTATGTCATTGGGTATGGTTGGATCTATGGGAATAGGTTTGGCTGTGTCAAGCCCACTACATGGTTAGCGATTCGTGTTGCTCTCTCAGGGGTGACCGTCTCAAAGTCTCACCATAGGGTTACAGTCGTAGTAGTTGAAGTTTCACTTGGTGTCAGTTTTATTTTCCTTTTGCTTGATGTAATGATCCTGAATCTTTTGATATGATTAGAGGCCCGTTTGATGATAAAAAAAAAAACTATAGAAGCTTATTTTTGTGTGCATGTGTAAAAGTATAATGTTTTTGCATAATATTTATCTAATAACACATAACTATATTTACTAATGTCTTTACAAAAGATAAAATGTTTAGTAAAAAATTGAAACGCCTTTTCACGCCTTTCTTCCGCCTAGGCTTCAAAGGTCTGAGGCTTAATCATGCCGCCTTGCAACGCCTTACGCCTTTTAAAACACTGACTATACCTCATCCATACCCCATATAAAAACAAAAAGCTCTCCCCCATTTTTACCTCACTCCATTCCCCATTTAAAATTCTTACCCCCAACTCTCCTCTTTCTTCAAAAACTCCAGACCACCCCCTACATACTCCCCACACTCCCCTGCGACTCCGAACAACCCAAAACCGAACAACACAGAATCGAGCATCTCGCAACAACACCGGCCAACACCTCCTCCCATCTCACCCTCCCCTCGTCTCACCCTCCCCTCTTTCTATGTTTTTTTTTTTCGTTTCCAACAGAGAGCTACAGTCCTAAGGCGAAAGGAAGTCATCCTTGGACACCATTTGCAAGCCTCTTCAATGGAGTTGAGCTCCAGATTGTCCGCAGACTTCCCCCCAGTATGCCTCTTTCTCCCTTTTTTTCATCTTTCTTCATTTTTTATTATTTATTTTTTAATTCATGTGTAATACTCTATACATCTTGTAATGTTTAATGGTTGAATATTTTGTGTTATTGTGATGGATTTGTGATGTTTATTCTTAAGATTTTAGTCCAACTATTCTAGGTTATTAATATGCCCATAACATGTTTGTTGAAATGCTTAAATGAATTTTTTTTTATGTCCTCTTATGTTTTAAGGATTTTAGATTTTTTTGCTAGTATAAGTTTCAACTTTAAATTGTGCATATTGGAAATGTTTTAGATAGTAAGTAATCCAAACCTTGTGTGGTTTGAGTTGTCTGTATTTGTTTTTAAGACTCGTGAGTTGTCTGTCATTTGCAAAATAAATGTCTGTACTTGGTATTTAATTGAATTGTCTGTCTTTTGCTTGTTAGTTGTCTGAATTTGTTTGAGTTGTCTATAATGACTTGTCTGTCATGTTGTTGTGAGGAGTCTGTAAGAGTCGTGAAGTTGTCTGTCATTTTAAAAATAGATGTTTGTAATTCATATTTAGTTGTCTGTCATTTTAAAAATAGATGTCTGTAATTCATATTTAGTTGTCTGTTTTAAGTGTTCTAAATGTCGGTATGTGCTTTATTTGTCTGTCTACAGATCCGGAGAATGTACGTCCTGGTCCTATCATTTGCAGAGCAGCTGCTATTGGGAATGTTATTGCTTCCTGACAATGACGACGCCAACATGTCAAACAAAAGACTTTAGTTTGCTATTGGGTTTTGGTGCTTGAAGAAGGCTGGAGTATAGAATTTTGGGGAAATGTGTACGTTTTGAACTTGCGATTTTTTGAACACGTATTTTTTACAAACATTACATATTACAGTTGGAGAATGTGTCAAATGTTGTACAATATTGAACAATCGGATTGGTTTTTTTGAACATGTGTGAGTTTTAGCAAACATAACATGTACAATTATCAACTTATGTATTCGTTGTATTGTCTGTATGTGTATAGTTATTGTCTCTCTGCGTAAAAATGATGTCTGTGTTGGGTGTGTTTCGGAAAATAAAGAAAATTAATTAAAATAAATTAATTAAAATGACTAAAGAAAAACAAGAAATGAGATGGAGCAGAATCTAGTCAAAGCTCGTGCTACGCACGATGTCCTTAAAACGTATTTGTTGCCTCCCACGGTGCTAGGAGCGTAGCAACAATAGTTTCACAGGATACGATGACTTCGAACTAATGTTTGAGCACACAAACAAGAGTTCCAGCGAACGAGAACAACGTATGAACACAGAAGGAATTTTTCAGAACGCTGGAGGTGTTTTTAGCTGAAGAAATACGTGAGTTCGTTTGTGAATGTGTCTGTCAACGTGTAAGAACTTGTGTTGTTGCAAACCACCTGCCAGCCTTTATATATGAGGATTTGTTGTGTGTAAATGGTGAATTAATGGACCTGAACGTTGGACATCAATGACCAGTCTGTTGGGCATTGAACCATCCATGAACTGTCCATTTAACGCTGCATTAAAAGATAAGAACGTTGGGCATTCAATGGTGTAACGGTTCAGAACGCGACCAGAAGAACACCACACCAAGGTGTTCTGGTCGAGGCCTTCTGTCCGGAGCATTTCTGCCGTTAGGCACTTCTGTCACTGGGAAAAAATAAACGTTTCGGGAAGAAAAGAAAAATTAATAGTATCTCTTGAGAGATAGATTTTTGGACGACATTCGTGTCCGCAGGTCGCCCGCG